GGGGGAAAAATAAATAAACAAATAAAATCTTAAAAAAAATAAATAAATAAAAAATAAAATAAAATGAACTGTAAAATATAAAGCACCCAGGACAGGGTCTTCAGTAAGTACTCAACTATTCATTAAAGTTTTATCTTACTTTTTCTACTTACTCATTATGAATATTTTCTGGGTCATCAAATATTTTTTTATAACACTGTTTTGAAAGGCTATATTGTATTTTGTACGCCATCGTATGCCATAATTTATTTAGTCAATTGCCTGTCATTGAACATTAAGGTTATAACGCTAAAATTAATATCCCATTGGCTAAAGTCAGGGTCAAATTCCTAAGGCCATTTCTTACAACACTCCTCATCTTGGTCCATGGTATAGCAGCAAACTAAACTTCAGGAAAAACAATTTTCTGAGCATGAGGGAACAATGATGTATGGTTACTAAGCTTTCTGGTGGTGTGGGCTAATCCAAGGTAAAATGTTATAATATGCGGAAGAATAAACGGACTACATGTCCTTTAGTCAGCCATATATATTACTTCTCTGACCAAGAAGGAAATTTGAACTTATGCTCACTAACAAATATCTGGGGTACAGATTTCACAGGGCTATGATTTTAAAGATTTTATTTATTCATTTTTTTCCCCCCAAAGCCCCAGTAGATAGTTGCATGTCATAGGTTCACATCCTTCTAGTTGCTGTACGTGGGACTCGGCCTCACGTTGGACGGAGAAGTGGTGCCTCGGGGCGCGCCCGGGATCCGAACCCGGGCCGCCAGCATCAGAGCGCGCGCACTTAACCGCTAAGCCACGGAGCCGGCCCTCACAGGGCTATGATTTTAACTGTAGCCAAGCTTGGGAGCAGAGTGAGGAACAAGCTGGACTGACATTTTCTTGCTGAAATGCAAAGACCCTAATCAATCTTTGAGCAATGGTTCTAAAAATTTTTAATGACTTTTCTCTGGGATGCACAGCATATTCCTACCATTAAGTTCTACCATTGCATAAATTCTCAAAGGTATATGTATGCATGTGTGTGTGTGTGTTTATACATATCAATATCAGAATCTAGGGGGATGGGGCAGAAGGGGGCAATTTGGGTAAGTCCCCTAAGAGATTCCAATAGGCCCTCCAGTCTTGCCCCTGCTGGTGAGGAATACTGTTATATGCCATGGTCACAGTACTTTTAGCCTCTGACTCAGCCATTCAAACAAATCTTAGCAGACTCCCACAGAATGCATAACTTAGAAAAATACAATATTCTAGTGAACTATCCATTAGAAAGCAGTAGTTAAATGTACTGCTGAATAATTTTCAATTTATTTTTTATCTGTTAGCAATAAATCATTTAAGTATGTACTAAAAATAACTCTGGTTTTTAAAATGTTGGTCTATAGTCATTTTATTCCTGGCATAAATCAAAGAATTAAAAGTCAAACTTGGTAAAAAATTACATGACACAATGCATTCTATATATCTGCAGATCTATGTAATTCACTGTTGTCCCCACCATTCCTATCAGAACTGAGTAAAGACGACTTGATTGTAACATAAGAAGAGACAGTATTAAATAACACCCCAGGAAGCCCCATTTCAACCTTGAAGTGACTGCACAATTTATGCTCATATGTCAAAACAAGGAGAAAACAGTAACTCCTTCCTCAGAATTGGCAATAAAAATTTTATGATGAAAGAAAGAAATCAAGAGGGCCTAAGATACTCTCACAATGTGCAGCTGATTAGACAGACAACTGACTTTGTCATACCTTGGCATTTAACAGCATGAAGAGTACATGGTCAGGAGTTGCCTGGGCTCGCCACTGCAAAATCTCCGCCAGAAACTGGTGCTGAAGTCATAAAGCAGAAAAAGAATCAGGGTTAGCAACTTTCTAGAAGTTGGACAATGCATCCCCCCTCTGTTACCTGAAGTGTAAGTTCTGTCCTTGACTTGTTTGTAGAAATCAATGCTTCTGAACACTCACCTTCCTGACTAAATCATTCTCTTCAATTTGCCCGAGATCCCTTCCTGCAGCTTGTGCTATGCGTTTCCCAGCAACCAGATTCCCAACCATCACAGAAGCAGGGCCTACACCTGTAAGTAAAGGCAAAAATCAACTCTCTGGAGATGGTAACTCAAGCTACATACCCTCAAAGCATTGCCAGACTGCCCAAAACTGGTTCAAACGTTCATTCAACAATACTGACTGAGCACTCTTCCAGGCACTGGGAACACAGTAGCAAACAAGACAACAGCTTGTACTCTAGTGGGGAAGGGCAATCAATAAGTACATACGGTCGTCCCTTGGTATCCGCGGGGGACTGGTTCCAGGACCGCCCCCCCATCCCAAAATCTGCAGATGTTTGAGTCCCTTTTATAACATGGCCTAGTATATATAACCTATGCACATCCTCTCGTATTCTTTAAGTCAACTCTAGATTACTTATAATACCTAATACAATGTAAACGCTATGTAAATAGTTGTTACACTGTATTGTTTAGGGAATAATGACAAGAAAAGAAAGTCTGTGTGTGTTCAGTACAGACGCAGCCATTGTAGGCCTTTCCATCCATGTTTGGTTGAATCCGTGGATGTGGAACGTGCAGATACGGCAGGAGAACTGTACACAAATAAATGATGTCAGGTAGCAGGAAGTGCTGGGAAAAAACAAAACAGGACCACAGGAGAGACAGGGATTGGGGGGGCAGAGGGGGCAGGTGGGCTCCCGTAGCTTGGGTATAGGGAAGTTTTCACTCTGAGGACAGTTGGCCGCATTGGTTCCTACTGATAAATAATTTCATCTGCTCCAATCACGATGCAACCCTAAAAGTGCGCTTAACAGTAGTGAACGTGTGGTCTAGAAAGAAATCTGCCATCTACGAGGACTGCGAGTGAGTTCATCAGGACTATCAGAAGGGATTTATTAAAAGTGAATAAGGAAATCCAGATTGTGGGACATTCTGCAAGACCACTGGCCCAGGCTCTTCAAAAAGGTCCGTGTCCTAAAGACAAAATAAAAGTTGGGAGCTTTTAAATTAAAGGACATGACAGCCAAATGCAGTGCATGACTTTGAGAGGATACTGGACTTTTAAAAAATCAGCTGTAACAAACAAGTGGAGAAATCTGAATACAGACTGCATAGATGACAGCATTATATTAAGGATCAATTTCCTAATAGGATCATGGCATTGTGGTTGATTAGGAAAATTTAAGGAGAATGTTTTTGTTCTTTGGAGATACAATGCTGAAATACTTAGGGGTGAAGCGTCATGATGCCTGCAACAATTTACTCTCAAAGAGTTCACTAAAACAAAATGTTAAGAGTTGGTGAATCCAGGGGAAGGTATATGGGTAGGGAGACCTCTCCCTCTCTCAAGGAAACCAGTGCTCGGGTGCTGCTTTCTCCGTGGTCACTTAAAGATTAAGACTCAAACTTATCAAACTAAGAAGATGGCTAAAAGATAAAACTTATCCCCAGTTGAGCTTTGAATAATGCTGATGCTATGCTTGGATTAATATTAAATAACTTTTTTTGCCAAAATCTGTTCATCATAAATGTACTGAAACAGCTGGAACAAAATTACTTAAATCATAGAATCGCTTTTAAATAGTTGGGGAAGTTGGGTAAGGAGTATAAGGGAATTATTTGGCAGTTTTTTTGTTAGTGTGAAATTATTTCAAAATAAAAAGTTAAAGGGCCGGCCCCATGGCGTAGTGGTTCAGTGCGTGCGCTCTGTTGCTGGTGGCACGGGTTCGGATCCCAGGTGCGCACCGACACACCGCTTGTCAGGCCATGCTGTGGTGGCGTCCCACATAAGGTGGAGGAAGATGGGCACGGACGTTAGCTCAAGGCTAGTCTTCCTCAGCAAAGAAAAAAAAAAAAAGAGGAGGATTGGCATGGATGTTAGCTCAGGGCTGATCTTCCTCACCAAAAAAAAAAAAACAAACAAAAAAAATAGTTAAAAAAAATTTAAAAAAAACCTCAGAAAGGATAATGTACTCCAACACTCTGCCTGCTGAACGGTTTCAGTCTACAAAGTGTCTACTGTAATTTTAAGTATAATATATGAAACTCCTTCCTAAGAAACTGCACAGTTAGCTGCAGATATATCCTGCTAGTTTTACAAAGGCAGGGACTCAGTGTACATGACTGTGTAAATTACCTATTCCTGGATTCACACTGTAAAATTAATAAAGGCATGACATTTTAAAAAGTGAATTTTTCAGAGTAGTTTAAAACAACAAAAACAATTCAGCAGCAATTTCTTGAGGTCCTTCTGTGTGCACTTCTTGAGTCTGTGGGTCACAAAGAGTGAAAAGTAACTGAAAGCAATCACACCTCGGAGGCTAATTGCTGACACTTTGCTGTACCTATAAATATGCCTTATTTTTCCCACAGAACTCTATAAATTTCCTGTGGCAAAGACCATTAGTCACAAACTCCAGTATCTATTCTTTTCCTCTTCCTTAAAAACAGAACCCCTAGTTTTCAGTTGGGCAAACGCCTGGAATAAAAACTATATTCTTTAGTGTGGGAGAATAACATGTAAGGGGAAGTAATGTGTGCAATTTCTAGAAAATATTTAAAGGGGAAGAGTATTTCCTTCTTTGCCTTTTTCTCCCCCCTGCTAGGTGGAATGCAGGAATGACGGCTGGAGGTCAGGGAGCCTAACTGGACCCTGAGGCAGTAGGCCAAAGATGGTTGTGGCAGACTGTTTCATTTTCTTACAATCCTTCCTTTCCTGCCTGTCCTTGCTGTGATTACATGAGAGGAGTATACTTCTCTGCTCCGTTGACTTTGGACACGGTCCGACTTGCTCTGGACAATGAAATGTTAGGGGACAAGACACAAACAGAAGCTTTAAATATGCTTGTGTGGTTGGCTTGCCTCTTGTTTTTGCCATCTGCCTTGAGAAAAAAATGACCCAGGTAGCTGCTGGTCCCATGATGAGGAGACACATGGAACAGTTCTGAACCCAACCTACAGCCTGGAGCCAAGCCCAGCCCAGCTGATCCCAGCCAAGCTCAGCAGATCTACATCCCAGGAGTGAAAAATAAATGCTTCTTATTTTAAGCTCCTGAGTTTTAGGGTTATTTGTTATGCAGCATATCTATAACAACAGTTGACTGACACAACAAAAGAGCAAAAAGATGGGAAGCTGGAACCACAATGACCGAGGAGCTTCCATCCTAGATCTGGACTGCCTAGCTCTGGGTTTCTTTTACCCGAGACAGAAACAAACTTGTTTCTTGTTTAAGCAGCTGTTATGTTTTTCTGAAACTTGCAGCCAAAACCAGTCCTAACACATTCCCATTCTTTACACAATAGCTCCAGTAGGCAACTCAATGAGATTTTTGTCCCTGGGCTGCCTTGACACCTTTTCTATCTTCCTTCTCTTCTCCTCTCTTTCTTACCTCACTCCTACCCATTTCCATTGTCCTGTATTCTTCATAAACCCCAGCCTCTCATGCTGTCTCCACATCATCCCCACCGAAGCTATGCCGTGATTTTCAAACTGCTGTGGTCTGACCCATATCCACCCCACTAAGATCTGAGCAAGGCAATCACAACACACAGCAAAAATACAGGATCCAAACCTAATGCTTTCATCAGACAGGTGGCTGCTATGCCTATGGGGGCTCAGGAATCAATCTTTTATACAGGTTTTATCATTTAACAAAATTTGCTGAAATCTGGTCAGCAAAAGCCATGTGTTAAGCATCTACTATGTCTCTAAGCATCTTTCAAGCATCTACTATGACATGAAAAGATTCGTTAAAAGAATCCTAGATTAAATGCTATTTAAAACAGGATTTTACTCATATGACAAGTGAATGTAGGACCTCAGTGTAACAGGATTTGAGATGGAGAAGGATTTGTGTGTCTTATACATCTGTCAGATACTTAGGCAGGTAATGTGTTTGAACAATACTTCTTTTTGTACATTTCTTTTTTTGTGAGGAAGACCAGCCCTGAGCTAATATCCAATGCCAATCCACCTCTTTTTGCCGCGGAAGATCGGTCCTGGGCTAACATCCGTGCCCATCTTCCTCTACTTGATGTGGGACGCCGCCACAGCACGGCTTGATGAGCGGTGCGTCAGTGCGCACCTGGGATCCGAACCAGCGAACCTTCAGGCCGCCGCATTGGAGAGCACGCACTTAACCACTGCGCCACCGGGCTGGCCCCCTTTTTATACATTTCTTAATTAGTAATGTACAGACATCTTGATTTTGACCATCCCTTTAGAATATCAGCTTCCATAAACTCTTATTTCCATTAGCAGAAACTGATAAATATCCTATATGCTTTAGCTCTAATACATGTTATTAAGATAAGGTTAGTTGATGAGTTGACAATAATATCTAGATAAACAACTGTGATACGATCTTCAGCCACCAGACCACTGAAGTAACCACTGCGGAGCACAGTATATTAACATTTTAATACCCTGATAAAATTATCCTAGATGGTCAGAGGCTCACTTTACATTTTATTATAGTATATCATGTTTACCTTTCAGCAAAAGCTGTCTCACAGAAATATAATTGAACGCCACACTTCCCATTGTTATCTTCTTTTCCCAACACATTTGGAGGCTGATGTGCTCATGTACTGTGTGTGTGTGTGTGTGTGTGTGTGTGTGGCAGTGGGATCTGTAAAGGCCAGATTTGGGCTCTCATGTGTTTTCAGGCATAGGAGAAATGAGGAGCCTCTCATTAACTCCTCAATTAAAATGAAAAAGCATCAACAAAACTTACTGATTTCACGTTGGATTGAACAGATATTTTAACAGGACTCATCACCAATTAGTCATGCGTTTAGCCTCCTATTCAGTTAGCTCTATAACTTAGGTCTGGTCAGAAATTAGGCAAACAGGTGAAATTGAGTATTTGGCTTTTTTCTCTTTTCCATATGACAATTCACATACTCTTATTTGCATCTTGAATTCATCAGAATATGGCAAATGCAGAACATGCTATTTATATTGTGCTTATAATCCAGAAAATTTCTGAATTAGGGATCTTGCTCCCCAGTGGTGTTATAGACCCAAATCAGACCCCTAGAGCTAAAAAGGAATGAGGGATGACTCTAGGTAAGAGATGCTCAACAGAAAGCCAGTATAACACAACAATTCAGGGTGGGGATTTCACTCACACTTAGTGTGAATCTCAGCTCTGCCACTAACTAGCTATATGACTAGCTACATGACTTTAGGCACAATTTTTAACTTTTCTGAACTTTACCTTCCACAGCCAGGGACAAAGCTTTAGGATCACATTTGTAAAATGTAAAAACTAGCTAGTGTTTGGCTTTCAGCAAGCTCTCAATAAATACTAAGTATTCTTATGATCAGAATCTTCCCTTTAAGACTGCTTTATTCTACTTCAACAAGTAGGATGCTGATCATCTTGATGCCATACCTTACATCCAGGGTAAATGGAGGCACCTCCTGAGGATTACTCAGAAGAGGGAGCCAATAGTAAACCCAGAGAAGCCTATTCTGCAGGGTCTCACTTCTCCCTGCCTTCAGTCAGCTGACACTATACTTGTGTTATGCACCTTTGTAAAGCCTAATTCTAGAGACAGAATCATGCTGAAAGAATTCAGCTTCCTGAAGCTACAACTTTAACGTTATGTCTTCAAAGCCAGCATATTACCTGGTTGCTTTTGCCGGGGTTTTGGCAAATTAGTCACGCACGTATGTGGGCACATGAGGATATTGCAAGGATGTAGAGATCCCTCCAGAAAGAGCTGCTTCGTCTGAGATATATGGATCCCTCCTAGTGGAGTTTTTGGCAATGTATTGGCAGGCACCAGAGCAAGGCAATAAACCCCTACTTGATGAATGCTATCGATTGCCTAGAAAAATACAAAAGAAATATTCAGTGAGATTAATTTTACTACCTTTTACATCCTCCTAACATAATCTATTATTTTACTCTAGGATTTTTTCTTTCTCCAACCATTTTAGATCTAGAATCTCGTAGGTTACTGAGCTCCCACACATGTAAAGGTAGCTAATCCTTTCAGAGACGGCAGAGAGCTACAGAAGAGGACTAAGGTCTCATCTAAACAGTCAGAGGCGGCTACTGACGTACAAACCTCAATATGTTCTCTCTGGTGACGTCAGAAACCCAGAAATTTATTTTGGTTCTTTTAATATTTTCATTGTCCAACACAGCTCAATTAAAAAGAAGCAAAGTATTTTTATTATGAACATGACAGAAGCTCTGTAGTGGGGATCCCCTCTGTAAAGCATCTGGGCAAGGCCCGCCTCACGCTGGGGCCTGGAGGCCACCAGCTCCCTCACTGCGCCTCTGCTCGCAGCCTCGTACCTGCACACGTGCGGAGCGCCAGCTGTGCTGGCTTCTACATCTTTTATGTCAGTTGTTCTTGTTACTGTGTTCACATAATTTAAGTAACTATCATATCAAGTGATAAAATATGAGTGCAGAGAGACATAAAGAGTCATGCTTTGGAAAGACTCATTGAAGGTGAGCTCCTAATAACTATGTTGATAGGTATGGGGAAAAGCAAAAAACAACAACAAAAAAGACAAGTTGCAATTTGAAAAGCCTGGGTCCCAAATTTTCAAAAATATTACCAATCTGAGGCATCTAACTTTACAAATTGGAAGACAGTATTACTAACCTTTTGGAACGATTATGACCCATCATTTTTTATGGGAAAAGACCTGAATTGCTGGGGTTTTATAAATTTATTTTAATTAAAATTACCTTTGTTTAGAGAATTTACAAGTACAAAAATAAAAATTAGAAATTACTTCTGAAAAGCATTACACGTGTAAGAGCAATTACTCAAAAGGTGGCTACTCAGTTGTAAAATAGCTGGTACAATGTGCAATTTTATGCACATTTTATGCCAACTGATGTCAGAGAGCACATGGGGCCAAACTATTGCAAATCTTCCCTTAATCTCTATTTTATATGGCAGGACACGGGGTGGAGCACTGCAGGGCATAGGGGTGGAGCACTGGCAGGGCACAGGGTGGAGCACTACAGGACACAGGGTGGAGCTCTGGAGGACATGGGGTGGAGCACTACCGGACCCGGGGTGGAACACTAAAGGACATGGGGTGGAGCACTACAGGACCCGGGGTGGAGCACTGGAAAGACACAGTGGGGAGCACTGCAGGACATGAGGGTCCAGAACTGCAGGAGAACAGGACTCCATGAAGTTCATTTGCCAGTGCAAACTCCTGACATGAGAGAGTCAGAACTAACTAAGAAATGTCTTTCCTTCAACAAGCGTACTTTTTTAGCTAAGGATAATAACAGCAGCAAATATTTATTAGATCTGAGTACAGGTTAGGCATTACTCTGAACAAGTTACCTCTATTATCTCATTCAGTCCTCACCCCATCCTACAAGGTAGGAAATGTTACCATCTCCATTTTACAGGTTTAATTCTCTATTTTATAGATGAAGAAACTGAGGCAAAAAATTTGGTGGAGCTGGGATTTACATCTCATGGAATCTCACTCCAGAGTCCATGCTCTATGACTATATTTATATAAGAGCAATTCCTAAACACCCTAAGAAAATAGATGTCATAAAATGCCGAGGCTTTTTTTTTTTTGGTGAGGAAGATTGTCCCTGGGCTAACATCCATGCCAATCCTCCTCTTTTTGCTGAGGAAGACTGGCCCTGGGCTAATATCCGTGCCCATCTTCCTCTGTTTTATGTGGGACACCGCCACAGCATGGCCTGACCAGCGGTGTGTGTGCCCCCAGGATGTGAACCTGGGCCGCCAGCAGCGGAGCACACACACTTAACGGCTGCGCCACAGGGCCGGCCCCCAGGGCTTTTTTTTTTAACGTTGTTTACCTCATATTACTTCTATTACCAGATATGATCTAAAGTAATGATTGATTTAAATACGACTCTGGATTTTCTACTGAAAATACACCATCTGGTAAGTCATCTATTCACTACCTTCCTCAGAAGGTGCTGAATTTGGTATTCAGTTTATATTATACATGGACCCGGAATCAAACAACCTCTGAGCTCTAACCTGCAGAACATACGATGTCCTTACTGCTCTACTATGGATCCAAGTGCCCCAAGCTGAGAAGCTACAGAGATGGAGAAATAATGCCCCTTATTTCATGCCCAAATCAGACCCTAAATGACTTTTAGAAGAATTTGCATTAGTAAGCTAGTTTTAATTTAATTCCAGGAAAAAGTAACCAATATCTTGGGGAGTTTTTCAGTTTCCTGTAATAGGAAGAAATGTGTAATTCACCACAAGATTCTACCATTATGCCCCAAAGTTCACTCTGAATGAAATAAGCAGTTTGTTTGAAAATACGAACAGTATAAAAAAGTATTCTCTTTGCAGGCCTGATTCTTAGCCATCTTTCAGAGATCAGCCTGGTCCCACCTTCTTCATAGTCTTTTCTGTCTAGTCCATCTTCAGTAGATTTTCTTTTCTCTCATTTTCTACCACAAATAGCCTATGCTATACCAGCTGATAATTCAGAATCACATATCCTGAAGATGGGAAGAAATCGTAAGAGTCATCTAGCCCCATCACTCATCTCATGCTTGCATCATTTCTACATTACTGCTAACTGGCAGTTAATAAGTCCAAATGCCCCAAGCAGACAAGTTATAGACGTTGGGAACACTCCCAATAACATGTAAGTTGCTATGGTAAGGATAGTCCATGCTTTCTTTGGATCATCCACTTATCCAACAAATATTTACTCAGCCTACTATGATGACATGCTGACATTCTAGGCTCTGGGGATTGAGCAGGGAGCAGAAGAGATAAAGTCTTGGCCTTCACGGGCCTTATATTACAGTGCTTGTAGAAAACAATAAATATAAACATAGTTACATGGTGATAAATGGTTTAAGTAGAAAAATAAAGAAGAGTGAGGGGACAGAGAGTAAAAGGGAATGTTATTTAAGATAGAGTAGGCCTCTCTAAACTCCTTATTGGAATTTATGTTTATGGTTATTATTTTTGATGTTAATAATCACTATCATCATTTACTGAATGCAGGCACTAAATACTTCAATTAATTATCTAATTACTATCAATTAATCTTTCCAATAGCTCTATAATATAGATAATTTTATCCCCACTTTACAGGTTAGGAAATAAACTCAGTGAGGTTAAGTAACTTACCTAAAGGCACATATGTGGTAGGGAGTGAAGCTGGGATTCAAAATCTGTGATTCTAAATGAAGACTAGGCTCTTTTCATCATTCTACCCTGCCCCCTCTAGAAATATATCCCTTATACTGAGCCAAATCTCTCTCTCTCCCTAATGGTTTATCTCACCTAGATCTCTAACACCACATTAAAGCTCCTTCAGAGTAAGAACAACAGCTTTTATTTTCTTGGATTCCTCGAACTCTAGGCACCACTTATAGCCTAAGATTGTAGCTGTTGACAAACGGATTGATTACTGTCAAAGATGTGTTCCACATATGGACAGTTAAAACTTTCATGAGTAGTAAACACGCAGCCACAAAAAAGTTAAAGAATTTGCTGAGGCAAGTCAGTGATGTGTTCTTGGCAACCGGAGTAGAAAAATACTATGTGGTCCACAAGGAGAAATGGTATCAATTACCTCATTTTGCTAATAGTACCCAGATTATCTGAGTAGTGATCAGCAAGAAGAAAATAAAGTAGCATAACTGGCCCATCAAAGAAAATGCTTAAGCAGTGGTTGCTGCCACCTCTGACAACAAAGCCATACCACCCGGACCAAGATCCCAGGTACGCTCACCTGCAGCACACGGCTCATCCACTGGAAACTATCTTCCTCAGAAGCGTCAGGTCTTTGTTCCGCAACCACCACAATGCGCTCGTCATAAAATACAGACACAGAAAACACAGCAATTCTAAGAGAGACAGATCAGACACATCAGCACTCCCTTCACAACCAGTCCTATTTGCTTTGCTCGGTTGGAATCACAGAGAGGGGACAGCCCCACCACACTACCCAGGAATGAGTAGTTTAGAAAAGAAAATGTCACAATCATTACCATCAAAACGAGGACTCAAATAACATGTATTAAGCACCACTGTCGTGAATGTTGGGACACAGCGATAAATAAGATAAAGTCCCTGTCTTCATGGAGCTTGCGTCTCAGAGAGACAGGACAAACAAATCAATATAAAATAATGTCACGTTGTAAAATACACTGGGAGAAAACTAAGGCGGGGTAAGGAGGTGGAGTGGTGTGCAGGGGGTGGACTATGAAGGCAGGGTGGTTGGGGAGCGCCTCCCTGAGGAGCGGACACTGGAGCAGAGACCTGAATGAGGTGAGGACGCGAGCCATGCGAAGATCTGGAGGAAGAGGTTTCCGGGCAGAAGGAACGGAAAGCGAAAAGGTTCTGAGGTAGGAACGAGCTTGGCAGGTTTGAGGAACAGCAAGAAGGCCAGTGTGCCTGGAGCAGAGTGGTGAAGCAGAGAGTGGTGGGGAGAGGTCAGACCCAGGCCAGGGCGGCCACGGAGGACCTGGCAGGCCAAAGGGAGGGGGATGTTCTGAGTGAGGTCTCCGCTCAAACGTCCCCTTACTAGTGAGGCATTCTCAGACCACCCTATATAAACCAGCAAGCCCACCCCCACCCCCTTGTGTTTTTTCTGCAGAGCACTTATCACCATCTCACGTGTTATCTATTTCCCTGTGTGAAACTGTTTCCCCCAACAAGAATGTGAACTTCACAAGGGAAGAGACTGAGCATCTAAAACAGTGGCATACAGCTGGCACCCAATAAATATTTGTTGAATGAATGCATGAAAGAAGGGGAAGCCATTGGAGAGCTGAATACGCCAGCATGCCGGACCATCTCCCTTTCTTCCTTCCTTTCATCCACATATTTATTGAACACCTACCATGTGCCAGGCACTGTGCTAAGTACTGGGGATATAACTGTGACCAAAGACAGAAGGTCTAGTGCCCCATGGAGTTTACATCTCACACGATGCCACACCACTACAATAAATTACACAATTCAGGAATTGGTTCTTTATTGGTTTAATTAATTTTTCTTACTTTAAAGGGACACCAAGACTGCTTTAACAACATATGTCCATCACTGTAAATAGGACATCAATTACTCAAATATGTACCAAATATCTTTTCTTGAATTAATAAGCAAATAAAAAAGGATATGTAATTGACTTCATCCATGGAATCTGAAATTAGCACTTATGTATCACGTCAACCTCTGCATTAAAACAGTATAATTTAGTTAGAGATGAGTAAGAGAAAGAATTCTTAGATGTAAAACTCCTACAGAGTAGCATCCATCTCAATTAGACTGAGACTATTTCTGTATTGAAGGAACGTAGGAAGTTCAATGTTTTAGAATTCTCAGTCCTCAGGATTCAACAAATAGTGATGATTAAAAACCAAAATACAGGATATGTTAATGTCTTATTCCTCTCAATTACCTTAATTGAGAATTACAAAGCCCAGTTTCTGTTATGCGTAACCAAAAATAACCTAATCACTTGGAAAGAGAATCTACAGAATACAACTCAAATCACCCTATAAAGATATATTTAGAGTTCACTGGAATTGCTAACACTTGAACTTCATACTACTCACCTTCCTCTATAAACAGTCTTTATTGATTCAACAGCCAATCCAGTAGCAACAATGTCATCGGCATTATGTCTTCGACCACTAACCATCAGTAACCCATCCATTTTTCCAACTACAAACACCAAGCTGCCCTGAAAGGTAACAACGATTTACCTTGATTTCCATAATTTAAATAGACATTTTTAAAATTAAACATAATTTAAATTAAAATAGACATAATTTAAATTAAAACAGACATTTTACTTCCTGCCTTGAAATAGATCTCAGCAAAAATATAAGAAAGAAAACAGTACCATATTTTATGGATTCTAAGAAAGTGTTTCACATCTCGACATCTCAGAAATCAGTGGGGAAGTCAGTGGCATCTCACAATTAATGGGGTCATACAGTATATAAGAAGGGAATCCATTCATATTAATTCTTAGGGAGGAATTTTATAAGAAAGCAACCAGGATTCCACACAAGCACAGTTTATTTTCCCAGCCATGATTATGTGCTAGTTCATCTTCTGTACCTATTCATGGGATGGATACAGAGGAGAAAAACATTAATTCATTTAACACTGGAATTAGGAAGAGATTAAAACAGTTTTAATGTGAGAAGGACTGTTTCAGGTTTATACGGGTAATGTTGTTTCCATCTGGCAATATCAGAAATAGGCTAATAAAGAAAGGTCTAAGGAGGGACTGGCCCAGTGGTGCAAGCGGTTAAGAGCTCGCGCTCCGCTGCGGAGGCCCGGGGTTCCCCGGTTCGGATCCCGGGTGCGCACCAACGCACCGCTTGGCAAGCCATGCTGTGGCGACGTCCCATATAAAGTGGAGGAAGATGGGCATGGATGTTAGCCCAGGGCCAGACTTTCTCAGCAAAAAAAAAAAAAAAAAAAAAAAAAGAGGAAGACTGGCAGATGTTAGCTCAGGGCTGATCTTCCTCAAAAAACAAAAAAGAAAGAAAGGTCTAAGGAACATTATAGGAGCCTCTCCTTTCCAGGAAGACAACAGGGCTGCAGGAAAGTCTGCTATCAATGCCCCTTTTAAAAGGCTGTATAAATAATTTTATTATCTATTACTTAATATAATTATTATCAATAATTCCCCCAGATTCATTTGCAATAAATTAACTTTTCCCATTGGTTACAGAATTCCTAAATTTCTTGGACCATTTACATATATTTAATTATCATTAAATAGTAGTCATTTCCACGTGAATGTCACTCACTGATTTAGGGAGCACAATGTAGGGCAGTACACTGACCGACCTATGTAAGTAAGACATAACCTCTAGTCTCAAGAAGCTACTGGACCATCCCAGAAGACAGAAGAGAACCAGCCATTTCCAACACAGTCTGAAAAGAGCTACAGGAAGTAAATAAAGAGTACAAGACAGTCATGGCTAGTCCCCCAAAGTGGACTTCTCCATTTCTTTCACAGTAATAGAATTTTTAGCTGGGCATGGCTGACCAAAATAGACTGCATTTCAGCCTCCCTTGCAGCTAGATGGCCATGTGACTAGTTCAGAACAATAAGATGTTAAGTGGAAGTGTTGCTCAGCAGCTTCAGGTAATCTTCCTTAAGAGATAGTAAGACTGCACCCTTTCCTCTGTCCTGTTTCCTGGAATACAGATGGGATGGCTGGAGCTCCACCTTGGACCTCACTAGTGGAGTGGTAAGCTAAACGGAGCTGGGTCTTTGAGAATTTCCTGGTGCTGAGTGAAGAAGTCAAGACAGTAGGTATAGACTTCTTTTTCTAGGAGAGAGGTTCTCTTAGAGGTATGCCCTCACCTCCACTGCCCCCATAAATAGTGGGGAAGAAATAAATAAAATTAGATCTTTTCTGATATAACTTAAGCTGTTAAGAGAAGACAGAGAGGGTAAGGTGGTAATTAGAGATGGATGAAGGTATATGGGCTTAACTATGATAATGAATGCTTATTACTTACAAAATAAAATCCAAACTTTCCATTATGTCATGCAAAGCCCTTTATGATCTGGCTCTCTGCCTTGCTTGTTGGCTCATAAAGCTAACTGTGAGCTCTTTGAGAACAGGTTTTACATCCTAATTGTCTCTGTAAACCCAGTGCCTATAAATACCATTTGCTGAAAAACAAATTTCTTTCATTCAAAGAATTTACTATCACACATGGTGTAGTGCTGATGATTGGTATGAAAATGCTTTGTACACTATTTACTATGGTTTCCTTTAGAAACTTTTTCAGCACTCTTCTAACTTATTGAAACATATTAATCAAATCAAAGAAAGGCAGCAAGAATAAGTGAAAAGAGTTCTGAAAATAAAAAAAGAGTGACTTAGTTTGAAGGAGTCAAATGAACTTGGGTAACAGAAGCAATAAATATTAACTCGTTTTATGACATTCTTATAGGAACTGTCCTAAATATAAAAGCATCCTTGTAACACTCGAACTAATCAAAATTTGTTCTGTTCTGTGAACTAAAGTACAAATATTTGGATCAGATGCACCAAAACAAGCATGAAAGCAACACCTACCGGCCCTACAAATCCCAGCAATCCTGACCGGATGAACGGCACGTCCCCGACAGGAGAGCCTGCAGAATTCACTGGAATCACCTAAAAGACAGAAGGAAGAAAGTGAAAATCTTAGCTTTTTCTTAAAAAATGCACTTGATTTTTTAAAAGTCTTTTAAAAAATTATAACAGTAAAACATGCTTGTAGGGCCGGCTCCGTGGCTTAGCGGTTAAGTGTGCGTGCTCTGATGCTGGCGGCCCAGGTTCGGATCCCGGGCGCGCCCCAGGGCACCGCTTCTCCGTCCAACGCGAGGCCGAGTCCCACGTGCAGCAACTAGAAGGATGTGAACCTATGACATACAGCTATCTACTGGGGCTTTGGGGGGAAAAAATGAATAAATAAAATCTTTTAAAAAACATGCTTGTTGAAAAACTGAAATTATATAAATAGTGAATCCAGTAATCCACCTCCTTAAGAGAAAACAAACATTCACAATTTGCTGTTTATCTCTCTGGATTTTTTTTTAGATGCATATATTAACACATAAAGAAAATTTTTAAGGGATCATATTATATATACTGTTTTGCAACTTGCTTTTTCACATACTATATTATATGTTATATAATACGTTCTTCACATACTACACGGACCCTGGGCAAGTAACTTCTCTACACCTGAGCTTCTTTGGTCATAACATGGAACTCCCAATGCCTCTCACAGGCTGAGGGTAAAGATTAAGGGAATGTAAACAGATTTGCAGACATAAGCACAGTGCCTGCCCAGAGTCAGTACTCAGGAAACTACTGGAATTAGTACTAATAGAATGTAACCAGTCTTTATGGCTGTGTAGGTCACTCTAACTTTTCACTATTACAAACAGTGCTTTAACGAATATTCCTGCACATATTTTTGTGCATTTGTACAAGGCAAGATGAGTCTTTTCAATTTTAACAGGCTATCTTACAAAATTATTATAGCAATTTACACTCCACCAATACCATATTAGAATGTTTTTCCTACACCCTGGCTAGTACCATACATTATCAATTTTTCCAAACTTTGCCAATCTGGTAGGCAAAAAAATATATCCCACTGTTACTTTAATTGCATTTCTTTCTTAACAATATAGATGAATTTCTTTTCCCTTGTTTAATGGCCCTTTGTATTTCTTTTGTGAATAGCCCATTCATGTCTCCTGTCTATTTTTTCTATTTTATTGGGTTTTTTCCCTTTGATTTTTATAATTTTATTTATTTATTTATTTTTCCACCAAAGCCCCAGTAGATAGTTGTATGTCATAGCTGCACATCCTTCTAGTTGCTGTATGTGGGACGTGGCCTCAGCATGGCCGGAGAAGCGGTGCGTTGGTGTGCGCCCGGGATCTGAACCCGGGCCGCCAGCAGCGGAGCGCACGCACTTAACCGCTAAGCCACGGGGCCGGCCCTCCCTTTGATTTTTAAGATTTCTTTTTTCATATGGGGAACAATTATAACAAGAGCTAACATTTATTAAATGCTTATCATGTGCCAGGCATATTTCCAACTGCTTTAGTTAATCCTCAGGACAACCCTATGAAGCAGGATTATTATTTCCATTTTACAGATGAGAACGTGAGGCACAGAGTTTCCTCTGCCTCCCATCAAACAGTTAGTAAGTAGTGGTGATGGAAAATTAGCTCTTTGCTCTCATATGTGTTAGAAAAGTTTTCTCACCAGTAGCTTATTTTTAACATACACTTTTATCTTCTGCCCAGTCATTACTAGGTCTTTTGCCCTGGTGAAATGTTAACCACATTGGAAAACTCTCTCAGGGTTTAAATATAAGAATCCAGTGAGAAAAATATAAGAAACTTTAATTTGCAAAACCAAGGCAATAGTTTTCTCCTTTTTTGGTTAGGATTTTTATTCTACTTCATTACCATTACATTTATACTGCAGATTTCAAAATTTCTTCATCACTATGGACCTAGCAGTTTGATATTAAATCTCAGAATTTTGACTAGGCAGTTGCCCTCATAGGAAAGGCAACGTAATAAAATACTATCAGTACCTGCAAACACTGCTTGATAGTAAGGAAAATGCAATGAAGAAAACTTCAGATATTGGAAACATAATGTACACCAAGCATTTAAAAATAACAGAAATAGGGTGAGATTTAAGTTGGTACAATGTATGTAGACTCAGTAGAGGTAATCGGTCACCTGTGAAAGTAAACCAAGAGACTGGCAGTGAACATATGCTTTAAGAGTTTGTAAAGGTCCACTCCTATCAAGGTGAACTGGTCACAACTTCTGAAGGTAGGCCAAGAATGTAGTAGTAAAAAGATGATGAATGTAGTGATTTATATTATACCATTTTAGGCTATGTAAACACAGACGAGGGTCAGTCCAGGAGCTCTTAACCTCTTTCAGCCACCACACCATTCATATAGATAACACTCTGTTACCAGTTACATCTACTATTACATAATTACATGCACTGACTTTCAAGTGGGATGGTAGATAGATGTACCCAGCCATACTGAGATTGAGAATCACTAGACTAGATGATATAAAAAGGAAGCTCAAAGAACTGAAAATTGGCAGTGGTCATATAACCCCTGTCTAGTGTGAAGGGCACATGGCCCAGAAACGAGTTCTCTGATCCCTAAAAGGTACCCTGAGGCAGGTTAATCCCAATTATGAAATATAGATAATTAATTATGCCTGTTCTGATTTCCAGGCTCACCAGGCAACTTTCTTTTTTTTTTTTAAAGATTTTATTTATTTTATTTTTTCCCCCCAAAGCCCCAGTGGATAGTTGTGTGTCGTAGCTGCACATCCTTCTAGTTGCTGTATGTGGGACTCGGCCTCAGGATGAACGGAGAAGTGGTGCCTCGATGCGCACCCGGGATCCGAACCCGGGCCGCCAGCATCGCAGCGCGCGCACTTAACCACCAAGCCACAGGGCCGGCCCTCACCAGGCAACTTTCATCACAATTTGGCTTCACACGCAGAACCCCCTGCAGGGAAACAATGTGCTAGTTTCACTAGAATATGAGTGATTTGAGGAGCTTTGTTTGTTTTCCTGATGTACCACAAGCATCTAGAATAGTGCCAGACACATAGAAGGTGCTCAATAAACATTTGTCTGAAAGACTGAAGAATGGGAGCAATCTGCCCCCGTGACAGGGCAGCTCTTCATTTTTCATCAGGAACCTGGCATTCTGGTTTACACCAGTCTTTACGAGCTCCGTTAATGGGAGTCTACTCTCAAGAGATGGATCCATTCTCACTGTAGTCTCAAAATTACATTTTGGGGCTTATAAAGTTCAAACCATGGCATATGCACCAGAGTGAATTGTTGTGAGGCCTCCTACTCTTTCTTTACTTAACAGATAAGCAATAGCCCTTCCTGTGTGGCAGGTGCTATTCCAAGCACTTTATAAATATTAACTCACTTAGTTCTCACAACAAGCCTATGAGGTAGGCACTATAATTACTCACATTTTAAAGATAGGGAAATTGGGGCACAGAGAGGTTAAGCAACTCACCCAAGGGCAGCAGTGAGTGGCAGAGCTAGGACTCGAAGTTGGCCAGCCCAGCTCTAGAGTAACACTCTCAACCATGACATTATGCCATGTCCCATCAGCCAGCTTATCTGCCCTGGTGACACCCTGACCTCACCAAACAGTTTCCCTGTGAAACTTTAATATCATGTACCTCAAATGTATTTTTGGTCACACCAGCAAGCCCAAAGTACATCATGCCTCCTGTTCTGGAGCTGACGCAGATTTCTCCAATCTCATCTGTTCTGCAGAGTTGGGGAGGTCCATCGGGTCTCACAATGCACATCATCCCTAGCGTACAGAAAACACAGTTAAGGGATAAAGATTCTGGAAAACTTCTGCAAAATAACAGCTCATCCTTGTGAACCCAGGGAAGTTGTGCATTTACTGAGTGGCATTAAGTAAGAATACCAAACAGGAATGTTAAAAATAGACCTGACACTACAAAAAGATATCTTAAATTTCCATTTTTCAGCCCTAATGAAAAACAAATAATTTTTAAAATTCAGCAAATAAAACATACAACAGATGCAAACTGAAGCTTTTAAAGACAGTGACTTGTTAAAAATGACTGCAAAGTCCAAAGAAATAGGTTAAATGAATTTACCCCTAGGTAGATCCAACACTCACGAAAGCAGTGTGCTCTAACTTTCTGCCAGCCCCAAGGTCTTGGCAATTACAGCGAAAACCAGACAATTTTAGTATCACTCAGTACTTAGCTTTCCATGTGAACGACTGTAATTGAAGAATTCACAATTAAATCATACAACACTGCTGGAAGGTAAGTATAATCAGAATCACCTAACCATTAGAGAGGCTTTGAGAAATTAAGTGACTAAGTACTGAATTTTGGATTCCTGGTTTTGAATCTCATATTTTATCAGACTTGACTATCCCTAACAATAAATCTTTATGGAAAACCAAACGTGCTCCTGAGAACTCACCACCGGGCATTACATGTCCCACATCCTGGACCGTCAGTGCTGAATTTTTATCTTCAGTATTGACCCGTATGACCCCATAGCTCAATCCATTCATTGAGAGAATGGCTCTTCCCGGCAAAGGGGCCCCTGGAACTCCAGGCCTGAAAACAACATAAACTCATCAAACTTGGCAAATTAAATGATATTAAGTAAAAAGTATGAATAGGTAGGAAACCAAATTTCCTCTTGCTACCACACACACAAAAATCCTCATTTTCTCTACCAAAAACATGCCAAATTAATCAAATTTACATGTACAAAGCATGGTCAACTTTCACTCAAGTGGAAAAAGTAAATTTTAATCAGTTGTTAAGAACAGATTGGCTTGGGTGTACTATATATGTACTTTCTATACTTAAACTACAATCAAGAACAGACTATTTCTAGTCTAAGTTGCTAACTAAGGATTCTTGAAGAGTACAACAACACAGAAAAAGAACTAATTCCCAAATACGAGATGAGAATAATTAAAGTAAATTTTCAGTTTGCCAGTTACACTCAAGGCAAGAGTGGGAAAAATAAACGAGATGCTTCAGACTGCTTTACAAAGTCATTTTCCACTTTTAGACTTATGAAGCAGAAAATCAGCACTCCTCGGCATCGCCTGGTAAGTACTGCACATTTGATCGAAATTGTAAATTACATCAAGAGCACTGACATTCTGAACAGTACCTTCGGATTGCAACAGTCATGGCTTCAGCAGAAGTAGCACATGGACAGATGGCCTCAGGCTTCAGCCCATGACTTTGGAACAGACTCAGGAAGGCATCGCAGGATGACACAGACCCTAAGGAGGTGGAACAGATCATCTTGAAAGCTGAAATTGTGACTTTCCTTACTGCAGGAAACTGGTAAAGAATGGAGAGCCAACATATTTGTTTCTCATGAGAACTCTCATTGTACATCATTAATTCCATACAAATATGTTATTGTGCCTGTGAGATGGTTGATACGTTTCAAGGACAAATGAATACTCATCCAGCCCGTGAAAGGTCACTGACACTATTTAAGGTTACAATTTGGAATCAAGGCTGCTCCCACCAAACTGCCCAATCAATAGCAGAGATGCACTGCAGGCAGTAGGTAGCCAGTTTGGAACTCAGCAACTCTCCCTGAAGTAACTATTTTAGCCAGTGCAGTACTAATATTCTGACTTCCATTCTCTTCTATGTGATATTCTCTGCCTTGTTTCTTACTAAAGTCAATCCCATGCCTATGTTTTTGTGTGTGTGTGTGTGAGGAAGATCAGCCCTGTGCTAACATCTGCCAATCCTCCTCTTTTTTTTTTTTTTCGCTGAGGAAGACTGGCCCTGGGCTAACATCCGTGCCCATCTTTCTCTACTTTATATGGGACGCCGCCACAGCATGGCTTGCCAAGTGGTGCGTCAGTGCGCACCCGGGATCCGAACAAGCGAACCCCGGGCTGCCGCAGCAGAACGCACACACTTAACCGCTTGCGCCACCGGGCCAGCCCCCCATGTCTATGTTTTATATCTGGATGATCACTGTGACTACTGACAAAATCCATTTATGACAAAGAGCACAGTATCTAAGGCTTCACCTGATCCTACTGTGTGGTGGTTCAGGGTGTTTGTGCTTGTGGGGAGAAGCAGGTAACATAGTAAGATCTCTAAAAGCTTTTGCAAATTCCTTTGATTTGATGATAAGGGGAATTTTCATCAAGTCCAGACACTTGGTTACATCAAGTCACCCTCTTAACGTTCATTTTAATTGCATGATAGAAAAACGATATAAATGAGTGAGCAAGGAGTGGTTTTAAAAGTTTATGGGGCCGGCCCCGTGGCTTAGCGGTTAAGTGCGTGCGCTCCGCTACTGGCGGCCCAGGGTTCGGATCCTGGGTGCGCACCGAGGCACCGCTTCTCCGGCCATGCTGAGGCCGCGTCCCACATACAGCAACTAGAAGGATGTGCAACTATGACATACAA